AAAATTACCTTTGAACTAAGTGTTACATGGCAGACAAATCCTGGCAACACAAGCGCTATAACAGCACGCCTAACTGGCCCGCAACCGCTCCACTGAAATGAGGGTCTGTCACTGTAAAAAAATCACATATCTAAATCGAATAACGCTACCAGAAATGCAGTGGAAAACTGCAAGTAGACACTTGAGCGTAGCGACCCCATTGAGTATTTGCGTTAATGAAGAACATAAGCCACAATACGGCTCCAGGCCAAAACAAGAGCCGCAGTGTGCAAGCTAACGCCCGACAATTGCATTGGAGAAGCTAATTACAAAGACCCAACCCATCGAGTTAAGGCAATGAGAAAATTATTAAACAACAGTTTGAACATACACAACTGAAATAACAATTATCTTCAGTGCTCCTGCGAGTCCAGGAAACAATTTGAAATGTAACAGCTAAGGCAGCGCAACAAAGTACGCAACCAGAACATTGAAATGGAAAATTTTGGAATCACTGTCGAATTTCTATAAAAGAATGGTCGGCGACAATTACTAAAAATGTTAAAGGAACAGTTAGAGTTGTACAAATCGGCGAAATCTCATTCACACGGCCTGATAAGACCGGATGCTTGATCGCAGGTAGCAGGCAACAATTATGGCAGCCAGTTGGAAAATCGCCACAACGATTGCAAAAATTAAAAGAATGGTTGAGAACCTCATGAAAATATCCTCCATTTTTCCTAGGCAGCCCTAAAATATCATCACAAACAGCTGCATAATAAGCCTGTCATAATTTTTAGTAATAACGCTACTGGTTTGAGAACGTAAAACAGATTTAAACTAAGTGGAAGTGAGGCAAAAGGACTGAACTATTCGCGTAAACAAAGTTGCTAAGTGAGCACAAGAGTTAGTGAATAGGAGCCAATGTCCGCATGTCAAGCAGAATTCAGGTAGTTAACCAAGTGCATTCAAAGGAGAAAACAAAAGCGTAGGAACCCGCATGTGCTACGATTAACCAAGTAAAAAATGCTAGGCATTAAATAGACTCTCCAACATAAACATTTTGAACGTTAATAGGAGTATAGAAGTTTTAAAATTAAAAGGCAATTTTAAAACGTACCTGGTCATAATTCTCACAACTAGAAGGGATGGATTCGTCATAATCAGACGGACCTAGAACACCGCAACACGCAAACTAGTGGGCACTAGAGAGCAAAATCGAAATACCGCTGTTTGAACATTATCCATTATTACAGAATTTCCGCTTTTGGAATTCACCAATTCGTTTTGTAGGAAAGTCTCGATAAGTTCAGGGAGCTAGATATAGAGCTAAAGAAGGAAGTGGAATAAACCTTATCTTTGTAGACGAATCCCAAAACGACAAGAACAAGATCCAGAATGAGGAGTAGGGCGATAATAACTGCAAACTAATATCGCTTGTTAGACAATCTCCCACAACGTACTGCTGTAAGCATGCAAACACTCTCTTTCCAGGCACCGCAACAGCCGAGGAACCCAAGAATACAAATGATGAAGCCTATGGGCAAAAATCCGACGACCACGCCGTATTCCTGTGGCCTCATACTGGTAAAAGTGTTGTTCAAGGTGTAGAGTAAATAACCGGAAAATCCAACGACCGTCAGTCCACATAACTAGATCAAACAAATAAGTACACAAATCAGCAAGCAAAACTGACAACAGCAAAGACTTTATTGAAGAAAATACTAACTGCATGCATGTTTGCCTAGCCAGATTTAACAAGAGTTTGGGCGCATACCGTAATCACAGCACCAACAGAACAGCTACTAGACTTCTAAAACACGGTGCTACTCAGCCAATAATAACAAAGAGGACTCCAAAAAATTTAAGAAACCCGTCGTGGTACAGCAGTCACCACTCGTTTACCCAAAGGTAGCGAGGGGAAGACAAGATGACACGGGTTCATGGCCAACTAATCGGTGTACCCTCTCACCATCATAACGTGATAACAGACCTCGCCATATGTATAACTTTTCCGCAAGAAAGCTTACAAATACGAAGAAATTGAAAATTATCGTCAAGACACGCAGACAATTAGGGCCCCCAGACAGAACAGCCATGACAGCAGAGAACGACCTTTCCTTCGTCAAGCGAAGCTGTAACTGAGCTTAATGATTGAAACAAATCATCCGTGGCACAACTTCCCAAACACTTCAAGCAAATTTCGGGTAGATGTCTTTGCTTTTGCTTAAATATGAGCTCCTTCGTAGTGCATGTCTAAAGAATATAATAAAGTCCGAAAGTGAACGCAATTATCTAAAGTTAAATGGTCATAACTTCGGTAAATAAATACATGATTAAGTCAAAAATAAAGCAAATCATTCAAAAGCTTACCTTTAAAATTTGATAAGTTAGCACCTTGTTTATGTCGGCCAATTGCAGAAGCTGCTTATTCGGATCAATCTGAGCTTTACTTACCTACCTTTGTTAATGAAGCCTCTATACATTGCAAAGTCGCTTTCCGATTTGGAAAATATGTGTCAGTTACGTTTGTCAAACGACCCCCTAAAAAATACAACGAATTTGATCATGCGTTTGTTCAAAGAGGCGTCGATGCTTCGATACAGTGATGAGGAAAGAGCATTCATTTTCTATGCTAGGGGACTAAACCTTTTTGCAAGTGTTGAAACTGAGAGCATCTCTAACATTTCCTATGAGGTTTGTTTTCCCATTTTTTCCTTATAACTGCAGTTGCGATCGCAATATGAAAGCGCTAAGGATGCTTACGCTAGGCTACGAGAAAGACTGGGTCTGAGATATGAGATGGAACGAGGGATATTGCTCCTGGACAAACTCCCCGTTTGTGATGATCCGATACTCAGCGAATCATTTGGAATGGTATAGTTACTAATAATTGTGGGCCATTCTTATTCTAAGGAACCAAAACAATTTCCAGGACGTTGGATGCCTCCCATTTGTTTACACGATGCGGTCGCAAAAGGAGAGGATATTTTTATAATTGATGTGCGATCTAAAGAAGAGTACTCAAGGAAGAAAATTGCGAAAATACCCCAAATTAACCTTGGCGTCCAAATCACCTATGGGTAGTTTTCTTTTGCATTTTCATACACGTTTTGCGGAATCTAACAGCGTTTAGTAGCCTATTTTTCCTTGAAGGGAATTTCGTTTACCCTCTCGATGCTAACACAGCTCACTATTTGTGCCACTAATTGTTCCGATTGCATACATTATACACGTAGGCCAGTTTTTCTTGGTTGTTGTTATTTTAGTCAAACAATAAGTGCGGTGGAAAAAAGAATGGATGATGAACAGCGCAACCAATGGAAATTACATAAATTGGCGAGGATGATCGTTCTTTTGGACAGGGACTCTGGTGGCGAGCTGATCGAAAAACCAGACGATGCTGAGAAGTGTCCACTGCATACAAAACATCCCCTAAAGATAATGTATGATGCACTAGTAACTGTAAGTCCTACAGTGGTTATTGTAAATATCTGCATTAAATACAATTTTAGATTATCCTTACTTAATCAAGTGCTTTATTGATTAGATCTCATCACACATCCTACAATAAGCTAATCAAGGTGTGTACTCAGGTGCGTGCGGTTAGTGGTCAACAGCATGGAGGCTAATTAGCAATGTTATCGTGCGGGGTTGTTTTAACGCCTTATTGAGAAGTAACGTTTTTGAACTCTGCAAAGGGTGGTCTGATGCCGGTTAGTTGTAAGGTCTTTTGGACGT